ACTATAAAGTTTATGTAGTAATTGATTCTACCGGGTCCTGTTAGGATTTGCTGAACTCTTTTATCCATTGCCAAACAATGGTGAAAGAAGATCCCCATGCTTCCTTCTAAGCATCTTGCTTCTGTATCAGAATTTGCTGGAAGAATCCTCGATTATTTGTTTATTCACAGTGTGACAACTGCCAGCACCCCCCAACCCATCAACAGTTTCCCCAAACCTTCTCAGGACTAACAACAAAAATCAACTATAGTGTTTTCAATTTCCATGTAAACACACTCCTATCATGGCCAAGTCCAACTTATGGGGCAATGGGGAGAGATGCAGCAACACAGTCTGTGGTGTTTCTACCTTGAAAAGTAGATAAAAGTGAGTTGTGATCCAGGCACAGAGCAAGCAAGATGCGACTGTCCAGCCGATAAAGGTACAGAGCCACGTGGCTAACAGGGACAAGAATAATGAGCTAATATAAGTTATAGGAGTTAATAAGAAGCCTGAGCTAAGGGGCCAATCAGTTTATACCTAATGTAGACCTCTGTGTGATTTCTTTGGGACTTAATGACTGTGGGAACCGGGCAGGACAGAAACCTCAGACAACAGAACGGTACACATGGACAACTGCATCCACATAAAGCCTGAGGGAGCTTGGGTAGTAATTCTAGACAAAAAGAATAGAGTAAGGCATGGCTTATTTAAAACACTTTTAAAAGCTTATTAAAGCAGCACTTTCTCAGGTAGGTTCTGCTCCTTGAAAAAAAAAAAGTGTTTTTGAGAGTAGAGGAATTAATAGAATATAAAACCATAATGCAGCATGAAATTCTGAGTGCCTAATCTTTGGACTTACAATCCATTGTGTTTAATTTTAAGCCATTGCTGAACTTAACATCTTACTCTTAACATTCCTAGAAACTGAACACATAATCCCAAAGAGCCAAGAATAACACTGGAATGTATAGTATTTCGGTACCAGTCTATAGAAATGGTTCTGAGAAGAAGGACTCTGACTGCATTGATCCCTTTCTCTGCTCCTTCTCTTGCCCTCTCCCCCTGGCACCTCAGGCTCTTCAGTCCATCCTACACCTGGGTGGGGCTGTCTCAGTAATTATTAACTGCTCTCCTGGGATTGCTTTCTTCCCAAGCCTACCATCAAATTGTTGTGGCCATCCATAAGCACCATTATGGCCGTGCTTGCTGACCAAGTGCAAAACCCAGAACACCTCAGCACAAAATCCCAGCTCAGAAGCTGAGAGATGGTTCAGCAGTTCAGAGCATTTGCTGCTCTTCAGAGGACCCGACTTCCCGGCATCCATGCCCAACAAGTCACAATGGCCTGCAACTACAGTTTCAGGTGACATCACCGCCTCTTCCGACCTCCATGGGCACCGGAACATGGGTGGCACCAGTTCATGGGCTGGAGTCCTACACTGCACACAAACGAGTATGGGAGCTGAGCGCTCACATCTTTCCTGACTGTGGATGCCAAACGACCAGGACCAGCTGCCTCCAGTTCCTGTCAAAGAGACTCCCTACCATGCTAGCCTGTGCTTCAACCCCAAATAAGGCCCTCCTCCCTCAAGTGGCTTCTGTCAGGTGTTTTCTCACACAAACAAGAAAGGTAAGTGGTATATGCAAATATCTTACTAGTGGGAAAAGGGTTGCATTACTGCCATGAATGAGGGAGGGTTTTATACTTTTTTATTTGGGGTCTTCGATGTAAAGCAAACTGAAGTTGACTGAATTTATTCCTCTTCCTTCCATTGCTGGAACATTTGAGAGCTTTATTGCATCTTATTGCTAACCTTCCTCAAATGTGTCATGAGGCTGTCACTTTCCATGACTCATTTTTAAAACAAACAAATATAAATATCACTGACTCTTGAAAGAGACTTTAAAAGTAGGGACTGTAGAGATAGTTCAGTGGTTTAGGCCATTGCTGTTCTTCCAGAGGTCTTGAGTTCAATTCCCAGCACCCACATGGCAGCTTACAACTGTCTGTAACTCCAGTTCCAGGGGATATAACACCTTCACACCAATGCACATAAAATAATAAAAAAAAAATTAAAGAGAGACTTTAAAAATAAAGAGGACACACTTAGGCCGCCGAATCCAGGTAATCTATGCAAGACTGGTCTACCATCTAACCAGAATGGCAGGAGATGGGGAGGGCTAGACACAGAGGCAACAGATGCTAACGCTCTGGAAGAGCTTAGAGACAATAACAGGCCAGTGCCCAGGAGTCCGCCACTTACACATCCCCTGTCAAATAACTCTCAAGCCAGAGCAATGGGCCTACATTTTACCACTAGGCTCTGCCTGGGAAACAATTCCAGGCCTACCTCCTGAGGGAAAGAAGATCTGAAGACCCCAATCAGCCTAAGACATTTTTACTGGTTCTTTGATGTTATCCTTCATCCATATCAGCAAAGGGCTGTAGCCACCGGGACCACAGACCAGATAAAATTCAAGCCTTAAGTACAGCATTTGGCCTCTTCCTGGACCAACTTGGCTTATATTCTATGACAAAGAAATAAAATAACACTTATTACTTCTAGAGGCTGGTCTAGTTGGTAGGGCTTGCCCAGAGTACACAAGGCTTTGGGCTTTAGTCTCCAAGTCACATAAACAAGGTAAGATGATACACACCTGTAATGCTAGCACTAAGGAGGTAAAAGCAGGAAGATCAGAAGTTCAAGGTCATTATTTTCAACACAGTAAGGTCAAGGCCATTCTGAGTCACAGAAGGCCCTGTAATAATTAATAATGATAATAAAATAATCACTTCTCATCATTCCTACTCACTAAACACATTATCATTTTATTTACAAAAGACTCACAGTTTTCCTGAGTCCTTGGACCTAGGAAGAAAGCATCATAGTAAGAAATAATGAACAGGACCAGAGAGATGGCTCAGAGGTTAAGAGAACTGACTACCAGAGGTCCTGAGTTCAATTCCCAGCAAACACACAGCAGCTCACAAACATCTATAATGAGTTTTGGTACCTTCTTTGGGCTTGCAGGCATATATGCAGGCAGGATACTGTAGAAATAATAAATAAGTCTTTTAAAAATCAAAAGTAAATAAACCAAAATTTTAAACAATTTCTGGTAATGTAACTTAGTGGTAGAAGTCTTGCTTAACATACTCAAGGTCCTGGATTCAGCACACATACAAACCACACACACACACACACACACACGCACTCACACACACAGAGCAGAACTCAAATAAATTGCTCAAAAGTAAAATATAACTAAAGAAGAGAGATAGCCCTGGATAATAAATAAATAAATAAATGGATAAATAAATAATAGCTCAAAACACAAGATAAATAGCATTAGTTCATACCATATAAATATAAGTAATTAATATATATAAATTAAGTAATAAATAAGTGAATGAGTTCGGAGACAAATTTTCTATGCTCAATAATTCCAAATGTCAGTAACTACCTGCCTTCTTAAGAAGTGTCCCGTAACAACTTGCACCTATGACTGCTTTCACAAGATGTGTGCACCGTTGACAGGGCAGAGAAAATTTAACTTCATAATAGAAATAGCTACAAACATGTCCTTGGCCAGTGATCAAGGCGAATGTCACACGTAAGTCGTCTGATCATGAAGTCAAGGGAACGGCATTTCACCTCTGTGGTTTCCCTCGCCTAACCCAGTCCGTCCATAAGAAATCATCAAGAAACCCAAATGACAGACATTCAACAAAACAACCAGTCAGTGCTCTTCAAACTGCCAAGGTCATCAGAAACAAGGGACGCCCTAGACAGGAGAGCCAGCACAGCACAGAAGCTCTTAGTGCCAAATCGCAAACTCTAAGGTGATGTCCTGGGTAGGACAGACGGAGCAAAAGCCAATTAGGAGCAAATGAATTCTAAAGAAAGCACGGACGTTAGTTAGTAATGAGATACAGCACTGCAGATGCACCGTAGACAGAGGAGCCACGCATGTGGGGCCCAACAGAGTCCTTCACCCACGAAGCCAGGGAAGCCAAAGGCTGACACCCCTGGTGTCCCTTTGGGGACATTCTCTATCACCTCCATACCTCGTCTGTAGATCTAAAACAAACACAATTTTTAAGTATATACAATTAAGTTTTAAAAAATACTTTACACATTATTATTGTGCGTATGAGGTCCCTTCCCACTGTACCCTGGAATGGGCAATGACCCCACTTGTTTTAATCACCTCCTGAAGATGTCAGTTCCTATCACCATAGTGTTGAGGGTGGAGATTTTAACATATCAGTTAAGGGAAAAATAAATATTGTTTGAAGATTACTATTAAAGAAAACTGAATCCTACTATGAGATCAAAACACCAGCCCACTGCAGGTGACCTGGCACTATTCTTCTACACGGTCCAGTCCTGGTTCGAATGGATGCACGCAGGTATACCCAGCTTTCTGATGTCACAGGACTAGCATGATGTCATCATCTACACACTCCACTCCTGAGAACTGCACCGTCAAGTTAGAAAAATCTTTCCTGGTTCAAGTAATGTTACAGCGTATCTATTCTCAGCCACACGCAGCCCACGAGTCAGGAGTGTAGACATGCCTACAAGTCCTAAGACGTCAGCACTACACCACAAGAATCACTTCTTAGACTCCCTCGCTTCCACTGAATGTTCTTGGCACCAAAGACTCTGTGCTTGGGAGATATCCCAATGCCAGCATGAGCAGGGACCCCATGAACGCAGGGTGAAGGCTTTAATTGTAATCTATCAACCTTGTTCGCAACAGATTTGCAGAAATTGCCTCGCTGTTAGCCAACGCGATCCTGTTTCCTCCACTGAGGTGAGGCAGGACACACCTCACCAACACACACTTCCAGCCTTCTGGTAGTTCAGGGCGTGGGAGACGGCCTCCTGACCTGGAGCATCCCAACCAAAAACTACTGTTCGGATATGAAAATGGGAGAGGCCTCCAACTCTGTCATGCTTGCCTCATGCTGACTGCAGTCTGCTCGCTCCCTCCCCTCACAGGTAACTCACCTGCAGGACAAATGCGAGCAGCGGAATCAAGTCCCTGTGCGTTTCCAGAAAATGAGAGATGACATTCACAAAGGAAGTTCCAGGTTTTCTCTCTTGTCTGTAGACAGTAGTCCTTGTTCCAAAGGTCAGAGGTTTCTCAGCAGGGAGCATCTGTGAGGGCAGAGAAGAGAGGTGAGAGAAACAGAAGGGTGACTTGGGAACCCAGACTCAGACCAGTATTGGGTGCGTTTGATGAAATGCAGGCAGGGTCATCTAACAGGTAACTCATGAACAGTACTACACAGCAGACATACACCTGCTCTGCCCAGCTCAGGTCCCTGCCATTAAAGTAACCCAAGGCAAAATGGAAGAACTAGGCCCAATGGCATGGAAGCAGGGCCAGGCCGTGCCATATATAACACGCCTGGTGGAGCGCAGACAGGTGCTTACTAACCAGGTGAGGGAGGGAGGGGAGGACGGCCTAGCCTGGCGTCTGCCTGTTTCCAGGATGTTCCTATTTCCACCGGAGCTCTTCTCACACTACCAACTTTACATCACTACAGACCATGCAGCTTGGAAAGACAAATGTAGTTCTTCCAGGATTTCTACTACACAAAAACAACATATATAAATAATTTCAAAAGAACAGAAGGCAGTGAGTGTAACAACCAGTGAAAGATGAGTTGTCAGAGGTTGTAGTCTTCATTGTCAATATAATTTATTTGATGTAAATTTAGGAATTATAAATTCAGAAATTTTTATTTTTTTAATGTTTATGGGTGTTTTGCCTGCATGCATGTCCACAGACCATGTGCATGCAGTGCCCATAGAGGCAGAAGAAAGCATTGGACCCTGTGGAACTGGAGTTCCAGAAGTTGTGAGCTGCCTCGTGGGTGCTGGGAATCAAACCCAGGTTCTCTAGAAGAGCAGCCAGTGCTCCTAACTTCTGAGCCATCTCACCAGCCCCAGAAATCCTGACTTTTAATAATGACATGCTTGTCACAGTTAGTTCAGCAAGTTCCTGAGAAATATAAAAACCAGCTCTCAAAATGAACCAATTCTATCGGTTAAAAACGGTTCAAAACTATTATTATAAATTGGGATGTGGGGGCTCATCTGTAATTTCAGTGCTTGGGAGGTGGAGGCAGGAGACTCAGAAATGTGAAGTCATTCTTGGCTACACAGTGAGTTCAAGGCCCATGTGTGTTATATGAGACCCTGTCTCAAAAAATAAAAAATATATATCATTATAAAATATTGTAATAAATAGGTTCTTCTAGATATACATTTTTATTTCCTTTGGATTATTTCCATTTATATTCCCTAAATCAAAATACTTGTCTATATTAACCATATTGCCAAGTTTCTTTGTGAAATGATCATATGGATTCCATTCTGCCATGACATATTAGTGGTTTCTTTTTGCATTTAGATTTATTGACTTTAAGATGAAATCATAGTTATTTGTTCTGTTCTAGAGGAAAGAGGATTCTGGTGCTGGCGACTGAGCCTAGGGCTACATGGATGCAAGGCTTATGGCGTGGGTGCCACCTTCACTCCTGCCCCACACCCTCACTCCTGCCCCCCTGCCCCCACTCCTGCCCCACACCCTCACTCCTGCCCCCCTGCCCCCACTCCTGCCCCACACCCTCACTCCTGCCCCCCCACCCCCACTTCTGCCCCACACTCCCACTCCTGCCCCCATCCCCTGGAATTCTGAATCTGGGTGGATGCAAAGGCTTGGCCTTCCCCTTGTTGACCATGGAGAAGTGGCAGGACACCCAACACCCTTCTCCAGTGTTCGCATACACTCCACACACAGGACTGACACACACCACACACACGATACACACACATGACACAATTTTAAATGCTTTAAGGGGGATAAGAAGTTGATATTGCCGGGGGCATTCTTTTCACGAAGCTGCAGAATACTAAGAGAGTGTTCTCAACACAACATGAGCTGGCTCACTCTTACTTGGATAGTGCACCCTACTGTTTTATAATTCTTGAAACATGTGAAAAATGCATGTCCATATGTCCATACACTGGAAAACCCCAACATTTGAGGGGCAGGAATAAGAGGACAACCTGGACAGCAGAATGAGAGTCTGTCTCAAAAGCAGCGACTATGAGGGCCTGACTTTGCAAACTGCATTGTAAGTAAGAGGCTTCATCTTAAGCCCTATAATGAGTAGGGGCCGATGGCAGCTCCAGAAATGTGCAAAATTTGAATGGATACCCTGAAAGTGGCCCATTAAGAAACTAGGGAGGAGGGCCATAAAATTTAATGAGGTCCACACATTCCTAGGAAGCATCCTGTCCTTGAAGATACCTTGTCAGTTATTAATGGTCCTTTGTTAGAGTTTTTACACCCCAAGACTGACCAATGGTTTCAGAAACTACCTTACCCTATGTCCTCCTTACCCAGTCCCAAGACATGGGACATGAACTCCCCTGATTATGGCGTTTCCCCTTTAAAAGCTCTCCCCTCCCAGGCTCAGGGCTGCACTTTCTCACTCACTGTATTGGCATGCTGGAGGTGTGGACCAAACTCGAGTTTGAATATTAAAAACCCTCTTGAGCTTTACATTGGAATCTGGTCCCGTGGAGTTACAGGCAGTGTGTAAGACAAGTATAAAGGTTTGTGCCTACAGTCCCAGTCCTTGGGAGGGGGAGGCAGGAGGATTACAAACTCAAGGTCAGTCTCAGCTACTGCGGAAAATTCAAGGTGAGCTTGTGCGACCGTGCAAACAAAACAATTACAACAACAAAACTAGAACAAAGCAGCCGATGGCACAGTGAAGGACAGATCAATAAAACACTAACCCTGCCAGTCTTTTTCCTGAATGCCTATAGGTCCTTAGTGATCGGCCACTCCCCTTCACCACCTGACCTCTTCATTCAGCTCCGTGGCATGTAACCTGCTGAAAACATAGAAGGTGCCACAGTGGCTTCCAAGGCTGTGCCCTTCCCAGAATATAGACAGCGAGCAACGCAGATTCGGGATTCCAACACCAGCACATTCTCAGTAATCCCACCGGGATGATGGTGGCACGGAGCAGAAGGGATCTCTGGAAGCAGCTCTGCTGTGGGTTGTTGTTTTTTTTTTTTTTAAATTAACTATGTGCTGGTTAGGTCTTTGCTGTTGTCAGTTAGTCTTCTAGAAAGAGGAAACCTCAAATGAGTCAATGTCTCCATCAGATAGGCCTGTGGGCCACTTTCTTACTTAAGGCTGGATGTGAGATTGTCCAGTCCACTGTGGACAATGCCACCCTGAGGCAGGTGGTCCTGAGCTGCATAAGAAAACAGACCAACCCCAGGTAAGACCTTTAGTCATAGCAGATATGGAGCCTGAACTGGCGGTCTCCTGTGACCATGAGGAGGGAGTGATCAACCAAGGACTGCCCCAGCCTCAGGCCCATGCTAAGAGAGTGAGCCCACCCCTGGAGCTGCTTGGAGCACCAGGACCCACAGACAGGATGACCCAGAGACCTGGGATAGAACCAAACACGACTAGAGGCAAAAGTCAGTGTAATGATACCTAATGATATTCTGCTATAGTCATAGATTGGTACCTCCAGCAACTGATGGAAACATGCAGAAACCCACAGCCAAACATTAGGCAGAAGTCATGGAATCCTGCAGGAGCCAGAGGGGTCAAGGACACCACAAGAAAACTCATAGAATCAACTAACCTGGGCTCGTAGGAGCTCACAGAGACCAAAGCAACAACCAGGGAACTATATGGGACTGGCCTAGGCACTGCATATATATTACAATTACAAGTAGCTTGGTCTACTTGTGAGACTCTTAACAGTGGGACCTGGGGCTGTCTCTGACTCTTTTACAGGCTTTTGGGACCCTACTTCTCATATTGGATATCCTTGCCCAGCCTTAATACATGGAGAGGTGTTTAGTCTTACTGAAACTTGATATGCCATGTTTTGTTGATATCCAAGAGAGACCTGCCCTTTCCTGAACAGAAACAAAGGAGTGGCTTGTGGGTGGGGACAAAGTATGGGGGGGAGGGGCTGAGAGGAGAGGAAAGAGGGGAAAATGCTACAGGGATATAAGATAAATAAATAAATATACATATAGATATATACACATACATATACACTTTTTTTTTTTTTTGATTTTTCAAGGCAGGATTTCTCTCTAACTTTGGAGCCTGTACTGGAACTCGTTCTGTAGACCAGGTTGGTTTTGAACTCACAGAGATCCTACTGCCTCTGCCTGCCGAGTGCTAAACAAATTTAAAATAAAAAAAGAAAAGAAAAGAAAGAAAGCAGGCAGACAGAGAAAGTCAATAAACATTGCTCCGTGGCCTCTACTTCAGTTCCTGCATCCAGGTTCTTGTCCTGAGTTCTTGCCCTGACTTTCTCAGTGACACTATAAAGTCTGAGCGGAAACAAACCCTTTTCTCTCCAAGTTGCTTTTAGTCACGGTGTTCATCACAGAACTAGAAAGCAAACTAGGAGGATTAGCAACAGTTTTAAACATTAAGACCACTTGAAGACAGGCAACACATTTGATTTTCCGCAAACCTTGCCTTTCCTAGGAGTCTCCATGGTTTTACAGAGACCTGCCAAAGGTTCTGCTACCGGCTCTGCCACTTGGTGTGCCCACAGCTGTTTTTCTCCTTCCTGTGCTGATTGTCAGTCTCCTTTTTCTAAACGGGTTATTGGCACAAGCCTACTTTAAAAAAGAATCACTGTTTGATGCAAACATTTTCTGTTCTTAATAAACCATTTGCAAGGTCAAGTGTGGCAGCCACATTCCTTTAATCCCAGCACTCGGGAGGCAGAGGCAGGGAGATCTCTGTGAGTTTGAGGCCAGCCTGATCTACAGCCAGCGTTACACAGAGAAACCCTGTCTTGAAAAACCAGTTTAAGTCTTTGTTGCAGAACTAAGGAACTAAGGCTCTTGGCTGATTTCCCTGTGTGTGTCAGAGGCTTTCAAGAGGTTTCTTTCCAGCTCCAAGATACCAAATGCTCAAAAATAGTGAAGCACAAAATAAGATGTTCCCCTCATCCAGAGGCGAGCCTCGGCTCATAAAATAAGATATTCCCTCCATTCCAAAGACAGCCCAGTGTCGCCAGTCATGCAGGAGGTGGGTAAGGAGACCGGAAATCGGGGGCAGCATCTCCATGGTCCGGAACTAGTGCAAAAGTCTGTTCTGGCCTCTGGGTACAACCTGGGCCCTTACTTACAAACAGGCTCCAGGGTGGTGGTAACAGTTATTAAAATACTGCAGTGTGTTAGGGATGTAGCTCAGTTGGCAGAATGTCTTTCTAGCATGCTTAGAGCAGAGTTCAGTTCTCAAATCTGCAAAACGCCATGACATGGCAAGGAAGACTCGGAATCCCAGCACTCAGAGATGGAAACGTGAGGGTCAGAAGTCATTCTCCATATCAAGCCCAAGGCCAGGCTGGCTTACGTGAGACCTAGGCTCAAAAATATCGTGTGTGTGTGTGTGTGTGTGTGTGTGTGTGTGTGTGTGTGTGTAGACAGACAGAGAGGACAATTACTCCTTAAAGACAAGAGTTAGAGGACCCTGGCCCAGCAGTAAATGCAGCCTTTCACCAGCAACATGACCACTATCCATTTTGTCTCCCTCTTCAAAAAATGCAGGAGTGAACTGATTGCGTCAGCTGCATGATGCTTGCAGTTTTAACATGCTGTTTATGCCCAAGAATAAGGACAAAATGAGAAAAAAAAAAAAAACCTGGAAAGGTGGCTTGTTAGGGAGGCAGAATCCAAGATTAACCTCTTAAAGAGACAGCAATACAAAAGCTCTCGGGTTGGAGTCCCAGCTCGTGTTAACTGTGACACTGGGTGCCTCTAACTGCCTTCTCTGTGTAAAGGAGATGCTTTCACCTGCTTTCAGTGGAGTCCAAAACCACGTGGACGTCATGTAAGTGTTGATTAAACTTACCGTTTATCTTATTTTGTCATCTTAATGCTTATTCAATAAATCTAAAACTCAACAAAGTTTCACATAACACATGCTGTTGTCATGGAGCCCACCACTGGAGCATCTGGGGTCCAGATTTGAACGTGCACTGTGAGTTCAGGGCAGACGTGACATTATAGTGCATCCCCACTGAACCATGTGATGCAATGCATCTGATTCCCTATTCTAATCAGAAATGTCCCAGGCTTACTGGAACCTGAGGTTCTGCTTCTCGTCTGAACCCGAAACATCTCTTAACCAACACCTTAGCAAATACATCTTCTTTGTGCTGTTGAGACTCACAGGACTGTAAACATAAATCCTGGCCTCCCATAGGACAGCTCTTCTGCACACAATGACTCAGTGGAGCCACAGGTTTAAAGACCGTATCTCATGTGCTGGGTTCTCTAACACTATCTATAGCATATTGCTGGGGAGGACAGGAAATTGCCAAACCCAGCAACTTGCTTAATCAGAAAGGTCTTTGGGTACTAAAACTGTGCCATGGCTTGGGCTCATGCATGGTGTGAATTGGTCCCACTGTACTGCTAAAGGGGACTAAGTGACTGAGATTGTGTTGTTATTTTTATGTCTCCAGAGGAGGAAGTACTAAGAATAACTCCCTTCCCTTTTCTTACCCCTAGACAGGCTCACAAAGTGCTCCCACCACAAACTCAAATTAGCTTACCAACTGACCTTCAAGCAGGCTTCCTCACTCCATCTATCTGGTTATGCCTTTCTCACTCCTCTTTACATGTGATGTCTTGCTGACAAAGTAGCTTTATTGATAGAGTGTTCACCTAGCACATACAACACAAAACAGGTATGGCGGTCATGCCTGTGAGCCCAGCACTCGGGGGTGGGGGGTGCACAGGTATGGTGGTCATGCCTGTCATCCCAGCACTGAGGGGGTGCACAGGTATGGTGGTGCATGCCTCTGAGCCCAGCACTCAGGGGTGCATAGGTATGGTGGTCATGCCTGTCATCCCAGAACTCAGGAGGTGCACAGGTATGGTAATGCATGCCTGTGAGCCCAGCACTGAGGGGGTACACAGGTATGGCCATCTTCACCCACATAGTGAGTTCCAGGATTGTACAAGAAACCCTATCTCAAAACAGCATTTTTCAAGTGCATTTCTTTAAAGCTATGAAAAAGGAATCCGACCTCACTCAGTGAGAAAACTGAAATTTGCAATGTAGTCATCATTATTAAAGTGTTATTAATCCCTGCAAGGAAGCTGGGAGGTTTTGGGGAACGGAGAGGGATGACAGCCCAGGGGCTGAACTGCGTTGAGTGCAACCAAACATCTATCTTCACATTGCTGAGATGGCAAAGTCATGTGTGTATTTTGATAAAATAAAAGTAAAACATAAAACTTTTTCAGAACCTGTGGGAATGGGACTGGAGCTGGCTCAGCAGTTAAGGCACACACTGTCCTTGCAAAGGACCCAGCTTAGTGCTTCACACCCAGCTTAGGCAACACCCTCTTCTGGGGTTCTTAGGCATTAGCACTCAATTGCACATATCCGCACCAGGACAAACATATTCACATAATTAAATATGAATAATTAAGTAAATTAAATTAAAATAAATCTTTACAATACATTGAAGTTAAAGATAGATGAATATTGTCACTGTGATGTTTTTATTCTACAGGGTTACATAAGACCATTTATAATTTTAGATTAAGAAATATGTACTAAGTAAGCTTCTAATGAGTGGGACTCCACATTAACTATATACTACTTGTGTATTTATCGGTAAATCACGGTTTACGTGAGCCTGTAGGGAACTTAACACCAGTGTGTGCAGACACTGTGATGCCAGAAACAAGCCAGCAAGGAGGCCATCCCCTCCAACCTTCACTGCCCCCTTTTTATTTGGAAAAGCTAATTGTACTGGCCCGTAAAAACTCAGATACTAGCTTACATAACAATTTTAAAAGTCCCCACGCATTCTTTAAAGGCAGCTTACAAACTCACTTGTGTGTCCCAAAGCACTGACTATGGAAAGAAATGCTTGCATAAAGAGTCGCACAGAACACTTCAAACTGGATCCCTGCTCCCTTCCGGCTCGCCTAGCAGTGCCACTAACATACTTCGCTTGAAGTGTCTCTGAAGTTCCCGGGTAGTTTAGTCTCCTGGGACCCTTAGAAGGTCATCAGGAGTTGGCCAAGCTGAAACTGGGGGAGATGGACAAACAGGCATGGCAGGTAGCCCCAGGGTAATGGGGAAGGGCGTGGCAAAAAAATCCTAAAAAATTCTGACCAGTGACCCCTGCACTTGAGAGGTGGAGGCAGGAGAACCAGGAGTCAAGGTCTCATCCTTTGCTATGCCTTTGAGAGCAGCCTGGGCTACAGAAGAAAACTGTTTCAAACAAACAGTCCCATAGCTTGGAGGACCTCACTCCCTAACCAGAGAACTGTCTCAAATTATCTTGGGTCAAAGCTAAAATAACAACCCCCTAACACAGGCCCTGCCCTTAGTTGTCACGCTTGTCCCTCCACTTCAACACAGCACATCTTTGGCCGCGAGGCAGCAGCTGTGTGGCTAAGCGCCCCGGACTGTGCTTTAGCCGGACTCTAAGCCGCTGGAATGCAGCACTTCCTGGTTGGCCCGGGATGTTGGTGCCAGCGCCATCCCCGTCAGCCCACAGAGCTAAGGAGCTCAGGGAATGCGAGACCATCTAGTTAGAGGGAGCGTACAGACCCACTGCACCCCGGCCCGGGGAAGTGGGGTGGGGTGCATCCTGCAGAGCTCGCCAGGGATCTCCAGGGACTTGAGGATAAAGTGGGTCTAGGGCACCAGCCGCTAACCCGGCTCTGCGCTCCGGGCAGCGGTCCTCGCCTGCGGCCACAGTGTGCGCCACTCTTGCCAGCGCAGACTTTGCAGGAATTAAGACTACGGGGCGGGAGGGGGTGGGGTCCCGGGGGACCTCCTGGAACGCGGCTGCTGAGGTCCGTTCCAAGAGGGCCAGGGCGAAGCGCCAAGGCCGGGACGCCCTGCGGGCTCGGAAGTCCCGCAAGCCTGGCCCCCGTGGCTCCTACCTGTGGGCCTGGGGCGCTGGCACACACTCTGCGGCGGCGGCTTCGGGGCTCCCCGCGCAGCTGGAGCAGCTTGGGCGGCTGGAGGAGGGGAAGGCGCGGGGACTCGCCGCCCGGAACTCGCCAACCCGTCTGCTGGGTGGGGCGGGGCGGCGCCGGCCAGCCGCTCTGACAGAGCCTCTGCCGCCGGCCTTCCTACACGCCTCGGTTCTTACACTTTCTTCGCCCCAAGTTTCCTAACTCAGCCGCAGTTATCCGCGGGGCGCACGCTAGTGTTCTTCTTACCAAATTTACTTCCCTAATCTGAGTCCAGTCCTTGTCTTTGACATCTAGTCGCCAAGACTGGCCGCGTGTTACAAGCAAGCAGCTAGCCAACTGGTGAAATATTCCTGGCCTGAAGCAACATACTTAACTAGAGGCTTTGTGGAGGTCAGCTGTGACCTCCTTGCAAACCAACGGTAGGTGTTATTGCCTGTTTACAAGAAAACAAACTGAGTCTGCAAAGAATGGAGTAAGCAGCCTGGTCCACCTAGCTAAGACTGCTCTCTTTCTCCCTGCCCATCCGGGCTGCAGGGTGCATGTGTGTGCGCATGTGCGTGTGTGCAATTAGTTGGGTGTTTTTTGTTGTTGTTGTTTTGTTTTGGTGTTGTCGCTGTTGCTTGTAGATGGGTCTCTGCTGTATACCTGGTTGACTATGAGGAGCAGATGGAGCTCAAACTAGATGATTCCCATCTCAGTCACACACTCAGTCACACCTCACACCCACACTTCTCGGTCCCATTTGCCATCAGCGGGGTGTAATCCAGAAATCTGTGGGAAAACTATAACTGAAATGGGAGGAAGACTGAGAAATTCCCAAAACACCTACGAAACCGTCCAAAGGGCAATTTTGCTAATTAGCCCACTTAAGATAGTCGTCATCAAGAGAACAGCAGTGGCCATGTGGTTTGAATAGAAGCCCTTCTGGAATATAATTTGGAGTACAGGTCAGTTCCAAGTTGGTTGCACAACACTGCATCAGACAGTGCCCAAAGATGAGATGGTCCCCTGTACATCAAACTGCTAATGCCGTTGGCCTTTTGAAACTGTTTGTTGACGATTACACAGTGAGCCAGACCCAGTTACATAATATCTTTCTACGCTCACGACTCTGCATGGAATGAAAAATATAATATTTCAGTGCGGCCAGAGGAGGTGAAATTACAGTGTGGGATCAGCTTTCCTGTAAGCGGCAACCGCCAGCCCTCTGCATTCCTCTCTTCTGAGCACATCGTTCCGAGTGATCGAGGACTCATGCAGCCATCACGCTTTCCTTGTTGACATAAATATTGATGGCTTTTGAATCCTGTGATTCTGACAGATTTTTGCAATTATATGCACAGTCTTCTGAGAAACAGGGTATTGCCTAAGAGGAGTTTGGCAAGACTGACAAGCATGTGGCTGAAAGGCTCTGTGAGCCTCCTTCCCCCCCCCCCCCCTTCCTGGTTCATTAGTCCCAGGGATCTGAGAAGCGCGGGCCTATAAGCCACTGCACTCTCACAAGCTTGTCTTTAATTGATGGGAGATGTTTGAGCACCAAGCTAGAAAATTACATCCTGATTCCTAAAAAGTCATCATTGAGACGTTTGGCATTAATACATAACAATAGGTCTTTCCATTAACTGAGACTGTAAAATAAAACAATAACAAGAATTCTGCCCCTCTGGGGTGTCACCCAGCAGGAAAGTGAGGATGTAGCTAACATAAATTTTAGATAATACTAGAATTCCAAAGGTTGTTGCTACTGTCCTCAGAGATTTTGTGATGGTTATTTCTTTTCATGGGTGCCAAGCAAAAAATAATTGACTAAGAAAAGTCTAGACTACCAGCATTGGAGAAGACTTTGAGACCTGCCTGGGTGGGGTTGGGGGGGGAGGAGACTAAGAAATTCTGTCTCATCTAATGTGATGCTTAATCTTCATTGTCAACCCGATTAGATGTAGAATCGCCATCCAATAACACCTCTGGGGGTGCAGGGGCGGTGAAGACATTTCCAGGAAGGTTTTACGCAGAGGGAAGTCCTGCTATGAATGTGGTTGCATTCCTTGGGGTCCTGACTGGACAGAGCTAGGATGGGAGCTGGACATGAACCATCATCTGGCTCTGCTTCTTGACTTCAGGACAATGTGACCAGCTGTCCATGCCACCATGCCTTCCCTGCCATAGTGGATTGCACACCTCAAACTGGGAGCCAGATAAGCACGTCCTCTTCTTAGCAGCTTCTTGGCAGGTGACATCAAAGAGAAAAGCAACTTATACACATGTTTACATCAGAGTTGGGGCTTTTAATCACACCTGTTTTCTTTCCTAAATCTTTTAAAACTTTCGTCTTTTCTTCTGAATATAAAAATAATATATGTTCACTTTATAATGTTTGCATTTGTATTCTGCAAACATACAAAGTTTTTGGAGACTCTAGGAACAATTTTAATGAAAAAATTACTTGTTTAATGTACTAAAAGACTTATGAGTTGAGCATGTCATCTCAGTTCATGGCATATAGCAAAATCTAAAGCTGTTTTGTTTGGTAATATAAATTTGACTGGATGGTTTACATCCAGTGTATTCAGGGATGGCATTGTCTGCACAAAACAGATACAGATGGAGAACGGGAGCTTTGGGGTCTATCTCAGGCCATGATCTCTGTCTTAGTTAGAGGTTTATTGCTGTGAAGAGAAACCATGACCACAGCAACTCTTATAAAGGAAAACATTTAATGGGGGCTTGCTTATAGTTCAGAGGTTTAGTCTGTTATCCTCACAGTGGGAAGCAGGCAGGCATGGTGCTGGAGAAGGAGCCAAGAGTTATACATCTGAACTGGCAGACAGTAGGAAGAGAGAAAGTCACTGGGCCTGGGCCTGGGCCTGGGCCTGACTTCAGCTTCTGCTGTGGGACAATGGTCTTGTAACCTGTCACTTATATTGTATTGTTTTAATGAAACACTGATTGGCCAGTAGCCAGGCAAGAAGTAGAGATGTGGCAACCAAGCAGGAAGTAGAGTAGAACAGAATTCTAGGAAGAGAAAAGCCTCAATCTGCAGCTGTCACCCAGATATAGAGGAAGCAAGATGAGAATGCCCCACTGATAAAAGGTACCAAGCCATGTGGCTAATACAGACAAAAATTATGGGCTAATATAAGATGTAAGAAAGAGTTCATAAGAAGCCTGAGCTAACAGACCAACCAGTTTATAATTAATGTAGGCCTCTGTGTGTTGTTTTGGGACTGAACAACTGTGAGACTGGGCGGGACGAAAATCTCTGTCAACAAGCTTCTGAACCCTCAAAGCCCACCCCCAGTGACATAGTTCCTGTAACAAGGTCGCACCTACTCCAACAAGACCACAAGCCCCAATCCATTCTCTGAGCCTACATGGGACAGTTTCATTCACACCACCACAATTCTACTCCCTGGCCCCTGTAGCCTTGTAGCCATATTATAATGCAAAATGCATTTAGTTCAACTTCAAAGTTCCCATAATCCACCACTATGTAAAAGTCCAAAATTCAAAGTCTCTGATATTCATGACAATCTCTTAATTATAATCCCTTGTAAAAATCAAAATAAAAAAAAAAGATCACATACTTCCAACAAACAGTGGCATAAAATAACTATTATCATTCCAAAAGGGAGGAAAGGAGCGCAGCGAGGAGACACTGGACTAAAACCAGACCAAGACTCCCAACTCTGCATCTCCATGTGTGACGTCAGAGCCCTCTTCAGTTCGTCAACTCTGTTTAGCTTTTTTGACTGCAACATGCTTCTTTCTCTTGTGCTGGTTCCTCTCCCTGTTAGCAGCTGTCCTCAGCAGGTCCCATGACTCTGGTATCTCCAACATGGAGTCTCCAAGATAGTCCGGGCTTCACTTTCACAGCTTCACACAAAGGCTTCCCTGGGCCTCCACGAAGAGACACCCTGACACATGCCTGGCTTTAGACACTTTCCTTAATCACAAAGGGCTGTTCCATAAACCCTTTCTTCTGTCCTTGACTCTAAAGCCATAGCAATGTGGTCAAAGCTGCCAAGTTCTACTGCTTGCTGTAACTGGAACATGGCCCCCTTGCTCAATCAAATCTTTACCAGTTTTGTTTTCCATAGTTTCCTTCACTGCCTAAGCTTGGCTGTTCTGGAACTGGATCTGTAGACCAGGCTAGCCTCAGACTCAGAGATCTGACAGCCTCTACCTTTGGAGTGCTGCCATTAAAGACACACACTACCACACCCAGCTCTAAGTTTTACTTTAATTCCTTTTCACACATTGGAAATTTAGCTGGGTAGGATCTTGCCCTGAGGTCACTACTCCTGTCTTAATCTCCCAATCTCCTTGAATGCAGGAATTAGCTCCATTCCACTTCCTGGTGCTCTCTTTCTCCTCAAATTGTACATTTTCCTGCTCTTTTTCATTATAAATCTGTGTGTAAGAATGACCACTGATAACCACACAGCAGAGTCTATACTAGGCTGTGTTGAGATTTCCTCTGCCAATGAAATTAATCCAAATCTCTTCACTTTAGCCTCAGGCAGACTCTTTGGACACGGGCAAAAAGCAGCCACTTTCTTCACCAAAAAATAATATGAGAACAATCTCCTGGCCACGTATTACAATTCTTCCCCTCTGAAACATCCTGAGCCAGCCTCCACAGTTTATCAGATCACATTCAGCCCCACTGTCTTCCATGCTCCTACTAGTTTGGTCCATAAAAACAGCACTTAGTGTTTAACTGCTTTTCTAATCCACAATCCCAAGATCTATATTCCTTCAAACAAAACCATGGTCAGGCCCATCACAACAATACCCCAGTCCCTGGCAATGGGTTTTCTGCCTCCTGGTAATAGGTTTCTCTGTTGATGCAGTAAGCTAAATAAAGCTGAATTGAAAAAGTATAACAACAGATTTATTTGAGCAAAGAAACTCCCAGGTGGGTTCTCCGGTCCCAGAGATGGAAGCCAAAAAAGCTACATGTCTGAACTAAAGGAAGGAGACTTTGTAGGTTATAGGTGAGAAGTGATGACAGCCACCATGAGCTGGGTTTGTGTCCAAGTATGGTCAAAAGTTGAATGGTCTAGGTGGAATTTGGGGGTGGGGGGAGCTGATAACTTCAGAGGAGTAAGCTGTAATAGCTGCCAAGAATGCTGAACTGGGCTTTTTGGCACTTTTCCTTTGTTCAGAGACTTTCTGGGTAGGTGAGGTTTGGAGAGAGA